CAATCCACTAAGAACTCCACTTAGTGATTCTTATTGCTTCTAGCCCACACCAGGTTCCAAAAGCCCCTTTTTCTTGCAACAAACAGTTCTTTGACACTTACAACACTTAACTTTTGTATGAAAAATGTTGTTCCTGTTTTCTGAGTGCCATAGAGATGCTTAAGTAGAGAAATTAGGGTTTTGGAATTGAGATTTTCGAAACTAGGGTTCTTGGACATAGGGTTTTCGAAAATAGGGTTGATTTGAAGTTAAAAATCAAAATTTGACTGAAATAATCGATTAAATGCAGTGTTAATCGATTATTACAGAGCCAAAATCAACAGAACCCCAAAACTCTGTTTTAATCGATTAAATGACCTGTTAATCGATTAACAAGCCAGTTAATCGATTAACAAGGATGTTAATCGATTAAACTAGTGAGCAGATACAGAAGCTTTTAGAAGCTGATAAATTTGATAAATGACCTGATAAATTTGAGCTTTTAGAAGCTTCTAATGTGCAGACTATATACCTGCTATCTCAAACTCTAATATTACAGACTCAATCTAATCAAAACAGAGTTATTACACTACAAAACAAGTCTTCAACTCTTTGTCTTGTGTTCTTGAATCATCATCAAAATCAACAAGCTTCATGTCCATCAAATCTAACATCAAGTCCTTGAATGTTCAACAACACCCACCTGCAACCAACAACAGATTTCTCATACGGTAACGAGACCAATTCCCAAGTTCCACTATTATGAAGAATACTTAGTTCATCTAACATGGCTTGACGCCAGCCAGGATGAGCTAAAACTTCACGAAAAGTTTTTGGAATGGTCAAAGAAGAAATAGACGAAAGACATGTATAAAAAGGTAATGACAGTCGATGATAACTCAAAGCAATATAATGGAAGAGGGATTATGTGTAGAACGGATACCTTTTCGGAGGGCAATGAGAAGGTCAGACTCAGGTGTCAGATCCGGAGGAGACAAAGTAGTTGACACTTGGGTGGAGTCACATGGTGATGGTTGTGATTGATTTTGACAACTATAAACTTAAAGAGGCGATGGAGAAGAAGCTGACTGCAGAGCAGGAACTAATGGTAAAGAAGACATAGTTAGAGGGTCACAAACAACAGGAATATTAAATGTACTAGGAGTGTTGACAGGATTGGATGGAGACAAAAGTGAAGATTGACTTTTAAAATGAAGAAAGAACTCATCAAAGGTGACATTTATAGACACAATAATGATTAAGAGAAGGAGAAAAATATTTATATTCTTTTTGTGATCTTGTAAACCCTAAGAAAACACATTTTTGTGATCTAGAAAAATTTTGTCAAGACCAGAACTGAAATTATGAACAAAACATGTAGACCCGAAAACTCTTAGAGGTAAGGGATGAAGTGGTTCATGAGGGAATAAAATGAAATTAGGTATTTTATTATCTAAAACCGAAGAAGCCATGCGATTAACGAGATAACATGCAGTAAGAAGAGCATCACCCAAAAAATGTTGAGGAACCTCTCCATTAATAAAAATAGTGTGAGTTGTTTCAATAAGATGCCTATTTTTACGTTCAGCTACACCATTTTGTTGAGGTGTATAAGCACAATAAGTTTGATGTAAAATACCGTGAGAAGACATGAATTGTTTAAAAAAATGAGAAAGATATTTACGACCATTATCACTACACAGAACTCTAATAAAAACACCGAACTGAGTTTGAATTTCATTAAAAAAAGTTTTATGAAATAATTCAGAACGATTTTTCATAAAAAATAATCAAGTGCATCTGAAATAATCATTAATGAAAGTAACAAAGTATTGAAAACCTAAAGTAGACTTAACGCGGCTAAGTCCCCAAATGTCAAAGTGAACCACGACAAAAGGGGACGAAGCACCACGTGTTACTCTACGAGGAAAGGAAGTACGACTATGCTTACCTAATTGACACAACTCACACGCCAAACTAGACAAGTTGGACAAGGCAAGGACAAACTTCTGTAACTTGGCAAGACTTGGATGACCTAACTGAGCATGAAGAAAAAAGGGAGACTCCATAATTGCACCAACATGTGTAGAGGGATGGAGATGATAAAGATCATGAGACTCACATCATGTGCCAATCACCTGTTTCGAACTCCGGTCCTGTAAACACACAAAATTGTTGGTAAAAGAAACAACACAATCAAGAGAACGAGTTAGACGATTGATAGACAATAGGTTAAAAGGAGACCCAGGGACATAAAAAACATTATCAATGGTTAAAGAAGGAAAAAGTTTAACAGTTCCAACATCATGAGATGATACTCTAGAGCCATCAGCCAGTGTAACAGAAGGTAAAAGATTAGGAAAGGATAAAGAGAAGAACAAAGATTTGTTACCAATGATATGATTAGTGGCTCCTGAATAAAAAATCCAAGGACCAGGAGAAGAGGATTGGGTCAGACCAGCAAAATATGTACCTGTGTGTGCGACAGATGTAGTGGAACTAGAAGACTGTTGATCCTTATACCATTTGAGAAATTTGTTGAACATAGTAGGTATGTCAGATGCAATAGAAAAAGGATCCCTAGCAGACAAAGGTGGGGAAAGATTAGTCTAAACAACTGCTGCAGATCGAGGAGGACGACCATATAATGCATAACACTTGTTAATCTTGTGACCTAGCTTGCCACAATGTTCACATTTAAGACGCCATTTTCCCTGTTTGCGAGGGTGAGTCCAGTCATCATGGTGAGATGCTAACGCAGAAGAATCATTAACAGAATTGGAAGTAGTAGAAGGAGTGGAAGAAGTTATGAAGGGCGGGAGAACAAATCCTAAAAAAAGTCCAAAGTAATCTAATCAACCTACGAAACACAGATCCAAAAGGAGAAGACCAAAACAAGTCTATCGAGATTAAACGGCGCAGAAGACAACAGACGACCAACTTCGAAAGTGATGATCTCAATGGTACGATGGTCACCTGACCAAGACGAGCAAAACTGTATGTTTTCGGTCAAAAATGAAACACCGACGGCAGTGGCGAAGGTGGCGATAGCAGCGTGAACTAGTACACTAGGTAAGTTCCCAGGAAAGAGAGGTGAGTCACTAATGGACACGCTTAAATACCAAGTCTTTCCTTGTCAGAACCTTCCTAGACATGCACTTTAACACTACCAAATAATATCCAGTAACAAAAATAACTCTTTTCTGATGTGGAAGATCAGTTTAACCGGTAGCGGCGGCGGTGGCAGCTCCAACAGTGGACAAAGGAAAAAAAATTTTAAAATAACCTTAAGCTCTAGATACCATGTTGAATATAAAGGAAATAGGGTTTGAGATTAATCTTCCTTGTGTATAAATCACACATAGGATAATCTATTTATAATAGAGAGAGATACAACTAAAAGAGTATCCGAAAGTAAACAGAATAAACAAAAGATATTATTTTATATTGTGGTTAACAATATCTTAACAATATTTAACAATTTTAATCATGAAATCTGTTAGGGTTGAGTTAGACACCTCTCCATTTCTAATATAGTATTAGAGTCTATCCTAGTGAGATTTGTTGACCTATTGCTCCACCCGTAATCGGGTTGTTGTCAAATTATCCCTTAATATTCTATTCCATGTTCTTGAGATATTTATTCCTTGACATGAGAAGGTGTAGTGGAGATTTGACATTGACTAGAGATATGACCAACTTATATAATTAAAGAGAAAAACTCACTTACAAAGAAAAACTCACTTACAAGTCAGCTTTGTAGCGTTGAGTTAGACACCACTTTCTTACTAATAGAATCTAACATTAGCTTGGATTATGAACTTTGGGTTTGAATTTTGTCATCTTGATATTAGATTAGCATTAGGAACTTATTACTATTTGAGAACTTTTAGTGGTGAATGCTTTCTATTATCTTTTTGTTTCTATTTTATTTTTTGTGTGCATCTTGGGAACTGATTTTGATTCCAATGCTTGTTCAACTTGCTTGCATTTTCAATGTTTTTCTTACCCTTATTATTTGTTTCTTGTGATGGTATGTAATAATAATAATAATATAAGGAGGTTTTGTGTTTAATAATGCTTTTAACAGTAGTTCTCTCTGGAATCCAGATTATCTTGCCACTACTTCTTGACTTTCTCCCTCTCCCTTCCCTATTTATATTCAAGCTTTCGCCTGATCTTGCAAGTGTTCTATTTGTCAGCATCTCTCTATCATGTTACTATCCAATTTTAGTTATAAATTCAATTTGGTGCATACTCTTTTCACATCTCAAATTCCATTGTCAAACCAAACATTCTTCTTTGTCTTTTTCTTCTATTCTTATTTATGCCCTCAAATCTCTTACTTTATAATAAACTATGTAACTATTACAACTAACTAACATGTCATTTAAGGATATTCTAAGTGTACCACATTCAGTGTTCTTTTCCCTATAAGAACATTACAGATAAAACAGAACGGTGAATCTATATTTTGTTTATATGGTCTCATTGGATTGGGCTTGGAATCTAAAATATCAATTAAAGATTGTACGCTTTGGATGTTGAAACCAATATACAAGGCTTAACAATTAACTTTATTGACAAATGAGTTTTGGTTTGATTAATCATTTGGTCTTATACTGGTGCCAACTTTTCAGTTCCCTATACCTAACCTCTATGTTTTAGTATCTATATAAGCAATTTTTTATGTTTTATCTTTTAGTCCTCGTCCTTGATTTTCTAGCAGTGTGAAACCTCCACAAAACGAAGGCATAAGGACTAATTGTTGAAACAATAGCTAGTGTACTAAAACATAAATTATTTGGTATATAGAGACCATAAAAAATGTTGGTTAAGACGTAGGGATCAAATGTTTTTTAAGCTATTAGCTATTCACATATTACTGGGAAAACTTCTGTTACATGCATGATTATTCCACTTATATGTTTTTTGTTTCTAATATACACAAAGGCAATGGACATGCTTTACTATGCATAATTCGTACATATGTTAGGGAATAGCTTAAACTCTTAATCGCCATGCAGGTGCGGTTGATCGGATATAGCATTGAGGGCTCTCTTTTCCTTGTCTATGAATACATTGAAAATGGAAACCTAAGTCAACATCTGCGTGGTTCAGGTTCCATAACCCTTAGTTTAGTTTCTTATTTACCTATGATGTGTTGAAATTGTCCTGAGTTGACAGGGAATTGCTAATGGTGCCAGGTAGTAGAGAACCACTACCATGGGCTACTCGTGTGCAGATTGCTTTGGATTCTGCCAGAGGCCTTGAATATATTCACGAGCATACAGTACCTGTATATATTCATCGTGACATAAAGTCAGCAAATATATTAATAGACAAAAACTTCCGGGGCAAGGTTGAGTATATTTTGAGATATTTTTTAATTTTATTATTTGCATCATTATAGACGCTCATAAAATGCTCATACATGCAGGTTGCTGATTTTGGACTGACCAAACTCACAGAAGTTGGAAGTTCATCACTTCCCACTGGTCGTCTTGTTGGAACATTTGGATACATGCCACCGGAGTATGATGATGTTCCTTTTTAATATTAAAGTGTTGCTGTTTAATTGAAAATTTACTTTCCGAGTTCTCATGCCAGTTTTTTCAATGATAAAATGAATGCTACAATTGTAGTTGGCAACTATTTTATTTACATTTCCAAAATATAGAAAAACATGATCTCCTGTGGCTGATTTTGCCACAAATCTTGATGTGTTTTGCTCTGGAAAATATCACTGATAAGGCTCAGAACTCAGTTCAAAATATTTTTGGTAAGGTTAAATGATGTCAATATGTTTATAGCTGTCCCTCTGTCTTGAGATTGATGAATGCATTTTGATCCAAAACACAAGAATTAATATGACCGAGAGCACTTTTCTTTTAATAAGCTAAAAATTAAACTTAAGTCTAGAATTTGATTTTTGGTGCATATCATATAGTATTTAGTCTATTGGGGTTGCGTTTTAGGTTCTAGCAATTGCATGCTCTTTTGTTTACTTATGCTTGTAAAAAATTGGAGAGGGGACTTTCAGGAAATATAGGGATCTATTTTATTTTGGCATACTAGCTACATGGATTCTACTCTATTTATGGTAGAGTAACCCTTAGCTTACATTTCTCTTCACGTAACACCCTAAATGTTCATAATGTCAATGACCCTATTTAGTGGTTACAAAAGAATAATGGCCCTTAATACACAGTGATTCACAACCCTTCACTATCTCAACCCTTTGATTATCATGGCTTTGTCTGAAGGTATGCTCAATACGGGGATGTTTCTCCCAAAGTAGACGTGTATGCTTTTGGAGTTGTTCTTTATGAACTTATTTCGGCTAAGGAAGCAATTGTCAAGACAACCGATTCTGTTGTCGACTCAAAGGGCCTCGTAGCTTTGGTCAGTCTTGATTTCCCTACTCAAGTTTTTTTTATTATTTTAATCATTGATAATATTTTAAAGACAACCATCATCATGGCTCTTCATCAATCTAAATTTTAATATTAAATTTCTTAATTTTATTATGTAATCCAGTTTGATGGAGTGCTTGGCCAACCGGATCCCACGGAAGATCTCCGCAAATTAGTTGATCCAAGGCTTGGGGATAACTACCCAATTGATTCTGTCCGCAAGGTAAGAAGTTTGTTAGAGTAAACCCTTTGAACGTTTGGTTTCATGATTTCAATATTAGTCAACCAATGTATGGTCACTCTTTCGCCTTACAGATGGCACAACTAGCCAAAGCATGTACCCAAGACAATCCCCAACTCCGTCCAAGTATGAGGTCTATCGTGGTTGCTCTGATGACACTTTCTTCAACAACAGACGATTGGGATGTTGGCTCCTTCTATGAAAATCAAAATCTTGTCAATCTTATGTCAGGAAGATAGGATGATACCAGATCAATTGTTTTGTATATACAATTAATACGTTTTGGACCAATTTTAGGCAAACACAACAATTGTTCAAATGATGTGTGTAAAATAGATGTACCATTTTTACTCGTCAGGTCAGAGAAGTCAATATAGAAAAGGTGGTGAGTTTAACAATTTTATGATAATTCACGAACAATGTATCCACCCAGTTACATTTATCCTTGTAAATTTGTGAAATAAATTCTGTTTGTCGTCTAAGTACATAATACCTATCAAATCTAAGCCTAATCTGATAAAAGTTGAACGAGATAAGTTTAAAGTAACTATAGTTCCCGAGTTTTTATGTTTTAGAATTAAATCCTAGTGTTCTAAACCTATCCTGCCCAAGATCGAGAACCCTGTACTCTATGCCTATGGAACAGACTATTCAGAGCAATGAGCAATACAGGTTTTGTTGTCAATTTCTAATATTTAAGGAAGCTTTTCATTGACAACCAATTCAATTACTGTCCACGTTCGGAGTAGGACGGTCTAATTCGGTCTAGCGTAATTGATTCTACGGGTGAAAGAAAAAATAAATTTTGATTTGATTAAAATTAAAATAAAATATGTTTGTATAAAATAATTTATCAAAAAAGTTAAAAAAAAAAATTTAAAATTGAAGTTTAGAACTATGAGATTATCCTAAAGATGCCTTCGACGTCTCATGAAAGTTTTTAAAAACTAGTGCACCTAGATACAGTGGCGGATCTTGACCATTGATCTTAGGGGACCAAATAATATATTATTAATAAATAATAAATAAATATAAAAGGAAGAAAGAAGATAAAAGAGTGAAAAAATAAAATTCTAGATATATACTTAAATATATTAAATGATCATTAAGTTTGAGGGGAACAAAATCATAAATTATATGAGAGTTACAAAACTAAGAGGGGTTGAGAGGATAAAATTGTAAATATACAAGTAAATATATTAAATGTTCATTATGTTTGAGGGACCAAAATCATAAATTACATGGGAGTTACAAAACTTTGGAGGGGGCCACGGCCCCCTCAGCTCCCAAGAAGATCCCTCACTGCCTAGATAATAAAAAATGAGACAAATACAAAGATTAAACAAGCATCCTACACCCAAAAGGTGATCACGTCCCACAACCTCATACCTAATAGAACAAGTTAAGGAAAAACACTTTTAGATAAGTTTTGATTGTCGTCTTTTGAATTAATGAGATGAATATAGATTCTCCTATTTAACTCTTTTCTTTTACAAATTATTGTTCAAATCACTTTTCAGCTTCTACTAAAGAAAATAATTAGTTAAATTAAACTTTTTTAGATATGATTATTTAATATATAAATTATAAAAAGAGAAATATAATTGTAATTATAAAAAGAGAAATTATAATAAGAGTTAACGACTTTTTTTACATCGTCATCTTTTATTTTTCAGTAATATAATTGTCTAAATTAATATTTCTTTCAAATTAACCTGATTTAATTTAGGCCACAAATTTTAAAATCTAACTTAACCCATTTCTTGGATTGTTCGTATCGACCTATCAAGCTTTTGACACTACTAGTTGGGAGTTTGGTTTTAATAATTTTCCTAGTTAAGGGTATAACTTCCTAACTTACGGATATACAACACGACACTTTCTTCCTCCACCTTCATAATTAAATTAAATCCTATTTTATCTTACACTAATCTTCACCTTCGTAAGTACTTGTTTTTTATTTTTAAACCTTTGAATGTCTGATTTTTAAACCATACTAAAACATTTTCATTCTTTCTTCTTTTATTATTCCAAGAATAGTAAGAAACGGGTAAGAATCTCCAAAATGTTCTTAACTTGTATCAAATTTTTACCATGTACAATATTTGCACAAGATTTTTGGCTGAAAACACGTTCTAGGAATTGAGAATACAATTTCGAAATTTTTTTTCTAGAAAGTGGGTTCCATAATACATTTTTGGAATTGATTTTTCGGAAGTGTATTCTGAATTAGTGGGTTCGGAATACACTTCCAGATTGCACATTCTAGAAGTGTATTATGGATCCACCAATATGAAACGCATTTCCAAAAAATCAATTCCAAAAAGTATTATGGAACCCACTTTCTAGAACATGATTTTGGAATATATTTTCGGATTGGTTTTTCTAAAAACGTATTCTAGACATCCAATCTAGAATGTATTTCCCGATTGGCTTTTCTAGAAATACATTCCAGAATGGGTATTTGGGAATGTGTTTTTAGGAATGTGTTGGCTTAATATGCCAAAAGATTGGCTGGAGGGTGAAGGAGTTAACCTTCTTTCCCGGCTGTCCTTCGGATGCTCCATCTTGCAATAGCCGACCCTCTAGATGAAAAATGTGTGTGTGCGCCTCCAGGATGCTCCTTCATGCGGTAGCTGACCCCTTTGGTTGAAATGTGGTAGAACCTCAGGATGCTCCTTCTTGCGGTAGCCGACCCTTTGGTTGATGAGTATGAACCCCCATCCGATTGCTTGTAGCTTTGGGATGCTCCTTCTTGCAGTAGACGACCCCTCAACTGACAAGTGGTAGAACCTCAGGATGCTCCTTCTTACGGTAGCCGACCCCTCGATTGATGAGTATGAACCCCCATCCGGTTGGTAGAGTTTGCAGTCCACCATTGCAGGACTGGAAGAGTATAAACCCCTCATCTGGCTGGTGCAGTCCATCATTGTAGGACTGGATGAGTATAAACCCCTCATCTGGCTGGTGTAATCCACTTCGTAGGACTGACTGTGACTTACTGCTCTGGCTCATGCGCAGGTTGATGGGTATGAACCCCCCATCTGGCTGGTGCAGTCCACTTCGTAGGACTGGTGGTGGTGGCGGCTTACTGCTCTAGCTCATGCGCCAGTTAATGGGTATGAACCCCCCATCTGGCTGGTGTAGTCCTCCGGTGTGCCGGGGATTATTTGATTTTTGGCTTTTTCCAATAGCCATCTAGCTTGTTGATTGTTGGGGATTCTTTGTTTTTTATCTTTTGTAGTGGTCATCCAACTTTGTTGGTTGTCGGGGATTTTTGGTGAACGCCTTTTTCATAGGCGGGAATCCACTGGTGATTTTGTTGATATTGATGGTGCCTCTTTAGTAGGCGGATATCCATTTGAGAATTTGTTGATGGTGCCTCTAAGTAGGCTGATGTTTCAACTAGAGGTGAAGGTTTCGTGCTTGCACTGTTTTGCCTCTGAATAGGCTGATATCCCATTCTGGGGATGTTGGCTCTTTATTTGCCAGATCTTGCCTACGCATAGGCGAATGATGGGGATGTGAGTCTGAAATTTGCCTTTGTAGGCTCACTGAGGATGATTTTTCTTTTTGATGATCCACTGGGGATTGATTGCCTTCCCGGGGATTTGATTTTGGTTTTCCCCCTGGAGTTTTGACTCCTTGTTAGGTACTGGTGTGAGCTGGTTTTGCGATGCTCTTATTTCATTGGGGAATGGACATTTTGTTTACCTAAAAGTTAGGATTTTAACTTTGCTTTTTTCCACGATTTATCTCTTTTTTATCGCGATTTTTAAATATGGCTTTTTTATGGGGATAATGCGTGTGCCTTTTTACTTTTTAGTTTCTTTTATGCACGTAGGCTTTTTCTTCTTTTTGGGGATCCGCAGCGGATAAAGTTTTCTTTGGTGATTCATTAGGGGATTATCGACTTCTTGGGGATCCAATTTTTCTTTTCTGGGATGGAGTCCTGGCTCCTTGATTAATGTTGATGCGAGCTAAACTTGTGAAGCTCTTATTCTACTGAGGGATGAGAATTTCTGATTCATTCTTTTATTGTAGACTTTTCTGGGGAAATTCACTTGAGGATTTTTATTCGGCCTTCTCTGTTGCGGCCCTTTCTTTTTTATATCCGCTGGGGATACAAGGGTTTTCTTCTTATTTTTTTCTCTTTTTGTTGAGCCCTTGATGGTATGGAGATTGGACTCTTTTGACTGTTGATGATGATGGGCTCTTGAAGCCTTTATTCTCCATTAAGGAGTGTGGAGGAGACTTTGGGTGAGTGTGCTCGATGACTCATGTGGTAGTAATGCTGAGCCGTGAGGATTATTTTTGTTTTGTCTTCGGAGTATAATGACTCATCAAATAACCCCACACTTAGCCTTTTGCACTCCTGGGCAAAATCAAGAAGCAAAACAAGGAAATAAATTCAAAAACATTAAAGAAAATTATGCAAAGGACAAAAACAAAAATAAAGACAAACAAAAACATAAACAGATATACATATTCATCAATGAAACCTAGGAAACGAAAGGAGTAGACAACATCCAACACACAAAGAGTCAGAGGAACCAGATACTCATGGAAATCATCCAAGCATTTCAAAACCTGGCAAGAGGTCAATCAGGTCAAAAGGTGAATCAAAGTGACAAAATCTCACAAGATGCACTGTATCTCTCATGTGTCTAGGCTACTGTATACTCTCAAAATACTCAAGAAAAGCAAACAACAAATAGACTTGGCAAGCCTCTAAACTCAACACCCAACGCACATGCATAAAAAGATCAAAAGGTCTTTTCAGGTTGTAATGGAGGTAGGGACAAGGTAAAGGATATCATATGGGATAAGTAGCTCTGAACCAGAGGAACTAGAGGAGCAATGGGGAATAAGTCAAAAATAAGCACAAGATGCATGCCCAAAAACCTCTAATATCAAACCTCCACTACTGCCTTTACCTCAACAACAACTTTCCTTTCTTTTTTTTATTATTTTTTTATTTATTTTCTCTTTCTTTTTTTTCTTTTTTTTTTATATATATCTTTTTTTTTTTAACTACATGAAATACACCGAAAGGAAACCACAAAAACTGTACAGCAGAGATAACCAACTAGCCAGTACATCATCCAATGAAATACAAAATGCACCCCCACACTTATTCAATAACTTATTCCCAAAACAATTCCAAAGCTCCAAAAATTCCTAAGGTTAAGGTAATCATAGTTTTTCACTTAAGGTTTTTCATGAGCTTCAAAAGAAA